TTTAAAAATATTTATTTATAAAATTTTTAAAATAATTTATATATTTAAATATATTAATTATTTATATATAATTTATTATAAATTTTAGTTATATATAATAAATATTTAGTTTGTATGTTTCACATACTAAAATACTAGTTTTATTGAATCAAACAATTTATGCCACGTAAGTATTTATTGTGAAATTATTTATTTATTTATTTTACAAGTCAAATTATTTAACAAAACAAAAGTATTCAATATTTTGCTGAAATATTTTATAATTCTTAAATATTTTATATTAAATAATTTAATTTTTATAAAATAAATAATTAATGTCGCATGAAATGTTTATGTGATACATATTAGATGGACGAGTTAAAAGTGAGACTAAAACTGCTCATTCTTGAAATGTGTGGATGAAAATTGAATAATTAGGTAACGTTGAGTATAAAATAAAGATTTTTTTTTAATGATTTTGAAGTTGAGAATGTTTATTTATTTATTTATTTTTATATTTGATTTATTATTTATAGAAATATTATAAGAAAATATTATTTTTAATATATTATTAATTTAAGTATGTTTTTAATTTTTATAAAATGAGAGAGTTTTAATTTGATCTTTGGAAATTATTATTATTTTTTATTTTTTGTCCGTTTAAAATTTATAAATTTTATTTTTGATTTTTGTGAAATGAATAAATTTTAATTTTGATTCTATAAAATATTTCACTCTTTTAAAATTTAAAATTATTTTTCAATGACTATTTTAAGATAAAGGAATAACATTTATTTTAAGAATTATAAAAAAATTAAGCTGTTAAACATTGATATCATGTTAAAAACATTTATTAGTAACACTTAGGAGAATCACTTAATATTTTAATAAATAAAAATTAACTAAAAATAATCATATGAAACATAAAGATTAAAAATGTGTCATATTTAGAGGATGAAAAATAAATAATTTCTTTTTAAAGGGATAATATATACTTACAAAATTATTTTTATGGAGATTTGAAAATCTAAAATTATCAACTTAACAGTATTATATTATTTTAATTTATTTAATCGTAAAAATATTTGATTATCAAATAATATCTACAAATATTTTTAAAAATATTTATAATCAAGCAAATAAATTTTCACAGAATCATGATTTCCACCATTTTTACCAAAAACATTTATGATAGGTAACCAAATTTTAATAATTTTTAATCATATTTGGATTCTCAAGATAATTCAAAGACATAAAACAAAAACTCTTATATCAAATGCTTCCTGAAAACTGTAAACAACCAAAATTACCTATACATTACACTAGGAGACCAAAATATATTCAAGCCTAAAAATGAAAAATATGTAGTAGAAAAAAAAATCTTAAAAATACTCTTATTAAAAAATCTCTCCTTTTAAGTCACTTTTAATACTCTGGCAGATTGTAAACTGATGAAAACATGTAACTGCAAATTCTCTTCGTTATCCTAAATTTTAAGAATTATTAATATTTTAAATTGTACATTATATTAATTTAATGTTTGTTATATAACTAAATTTTTTAATAAATTATATATAAAAATAAATATTATATTTAAATATATAAATTACATTTAAAATTTATATCAATCGAGTCTTTAAATGTATAAATTATTTTTTCAATTTATGATAATTTTTTTTATAATTTATATTGTGATAGAATATTATTTTTAAGTTTTAAATGTATTTTGCCCTTAAAGTATAGTAATTAGTGTAATTTTAGTCTCTCATCTTTTAATTAAATAATTTTAGTTCATTAATTTTGATTTATCAAGTATCATAGTCGTTATGCAATTTTTGCTTTTTCAATTTTTCATTAAATAAATTTAATTAATTCTGATCTTAATTTTATTTAATTTTTTTTCTAAAAATATAAAAGTTTGATTTTATTATTAATTTAATATCTGTTAATCATTAAATTTTAATATTACCATTAATAGGATATTTAAAGATAAAAATTTAAAATAACAGATAATTTTTTTATTTATATTTATTTTAAAGAATGATTGATATTTATTTTGTTAATATATATTATTTATATTTTTTAATTATTATTTTTTCTTCAAATGTCGTGCTATATCACTTAAATATTAAAAAAATAGTAAATATTAAAATTTAATGATTAATTAATATCAATTTATCAACTTGACGGAGGAATCAAACTTTTATAATTTTAAAATTAAATGCCAAAATTTTCTCATTTTAAAATAGGTGACAAAAATGAAAAAATATACAATTAATCCAAAATCAAAATTGAAATAGATAAACGGTTTTAAAAATCTCTATAAGTACCATCTTAAAAAAAAATCCTGAAAAGCACTATAATGAAAGATGACCATTTGTATGTGATTTTTTTTATTCAATTATTATTCAATTTAGGATAATAAAAATATATTAATAAATTACTTATTGTTATTTAGTTTAGTTTGTATCACTTTATCTTTTATTTTATTTTTTAAGACATATTTTTATTCTTATCCTTATAATCTTTACTCGTTATATTTAAAAATATTTAATTTAAATTTTATGCATAATAATTTTGTTTTTCTTAATTCATATAATTTTATAAAATTTATTGTTTAGTTAATAAAGATCACAAACTAAAAAAATAAATATCAATATCTTGTGCGAAAGTGGTTAAAATTTTATTCACAAAAACGATTTCAAACAGTTTTCTTCAATAAGAAGATATTTTAGAATTTTTTCAATTTTTAATTTAATTTTTATCATTACAATTATTTATAAAATAAAACTTAATATTTAATAATATCAATAATTAAAGATAATTATCATATTACAATATAAACTATTTATCAAAAATCTAAAATATAATTTCTATATTTAAAATATTTACTCATACATTTTTTAAAATTATTTATCAAATATAATATTTATCTATATATAATTTATTATAAAATTTAATACATATAATTAAAATTAATTATACATAAAATTTAAAATAAAATTGAAAGATAAAATTTATAAATTATAAAAAATTAAAAACATTTATTTATTTATGATTAAATACAGGAAGATTGAATCTTTTGCAACAACAGAAGAAGATAATCTCAAAAGATTTTGAAAGAAATAAAATAAGATAAAATTGGAAACAAACTTTATGAACACGATAGAAGATAGAATCGAGAATTAAATTAATCCCGAAAACAGCGGAAAAGAAAAAAAAGGATATTATAGTAAAAACCGCAATCAGTAGAATAATGATGAAACGTCCCGGAAACTAGGCAAGTAAGGGCAAGACCGTAACTTCACATCCCTCACACTACTCACGGACGGCCCTAAAAAACGCATAACAAACCCTTCCTCACGCTCCGCCACCCTATAAATTCACCTTCACCCCTCTTCATTCTTTCACACGCAACTTTCGCATATCGCAACGCCACTTTCTCTCAATCGCTCCTTTTCATTCCGATTTCTAGGGTTTCGCCTTCGTTACCCTTCCAACGCTCTTTCGCTTTGGCTTTGGCTTTCAATCCTTATCTGTATGTATTCGTTCTTCTTCTTTCTTCTTTCACGTTCCTCTCTTTGATTCCGTTTTTGATTTATTCTTTATTTTTCTAATTTTCTGTTTTTGATTTCAGGTTCTTTGTGATTAGGTTTTGCTGATTGAGGATCTTCGTATCGTAATTCGTTGCGGCATTTTAATCGACTTATCAAAACAGGTACGGTTTTAATTATTTGTGTTTTTATTTGTAATCATTGCGTGGTTTCTAGATCCGATGAGCTTTTTTTATTTGTTATTTTTTTGTTTCTTTTGTCTGTTTCCGATTGTTTTTATTTGATTTGTGTGCCTTTTCTCTCTCTTTCTTTTTGTGTGTTCGGATCGTTGATTTTTTTTTTGATGATTATCGTTTGCTTTTTTGTCAAATGAGATTTCGATGCCTGTTGGTGAGTGCGCAATATACTTTTATCGGTTATGTACATGAATGCAATTTGCTTTTTGATTGTCATGTCCGTGTCTAACCCAGTAACTGGGTCCTGTTGTTGATTATTGTTGGATATTGCATGTTCTTCTTTTTCTATTTGTATTTTGTTTTTCTTTTGTTTTATCTAAACTGTTTTAACTCTTGCATTAAATTTTTTAACGATGGTTTTTATAGATTTCAAGTTTTTGAATGATTTAAGTTAGCGGTTCGTTTTCTTTATGGTATTAGGAAACGATTTCAAAATAATTGATTTTATGTTCAACAATTAGTTTTGTTTAACTTTTTATGTAGAATCCTTTTTAGGGTTTTTATGTTTTTAAAATCTTAGTTTGTCGCTCAGATTAATTTTCGTTGAGTCAAACAGATTAATTTTCATCGAGTCAAAGATTATCAAAACACGATCGTGTGTTAAATCCTCTTATTTAGAGTTTTTATAGGCATTTGTGTTTTGTTTTTCTGTTTCTGGACTCAGTTTGGTGTTTTGATAATATTTCTTATTAAATTTCTGTTGATTTTTGTTGAGGGCAGGTCTGAATGAACTAATGGAATCTAAAGGCGGCAAAAAGAAGTCTAGTAGTAGTAGTAGTAAATCATTGTTCTACGAAGCTCCCCTCGGATACAGCATTGAAGACATTCGACCAAACGGTGGCATCAAGAAGTTCAGATCTGCTGCTTATTCCAACGTAAGTTTTCAAAGATATGAATGTGCTTTCACTTTCACTGTTGTATTCGTTGATCCAAGTTAACACCTGTTTTTGTTTGTTCTTGTGCAGTGCGCTCGCAAACCATCCTGATACCCCTCCGGATTGATAGTTCGTTGCATGCAACTTGGTTTTTGTTAGCTTTTTTTGGTTTTCTTTTAGGTTTTCACTGCTCTCCTTCAAACTCCATCTTTCCAATCCCTCTCTTTGCGATTGTACTCTGTTCTGGTGGTTTCTATATCGTTCGTTTTCCTCCTGAAACATGGCCATGGCAGTTTCAGCAATTGGTTTTGAAGGTTATGAGAAAAGGTTGGAAGTAACCTTTTTCCCTCCTGGACTTTTCGCTGACCCTGATGGAAGGGGTTTAAGATCTCTTACGAAGTCCCAGTTGGATGAAATTCTAACGCCAGCTGCTTGCACCATTGTTTCTTCGCTTTGTAATGATGATGTTGACTCTTATGTTCTGTCTGAGTCCAGCCTCTTTGTCTATGCCTACAAGATCATCATTAAAACTTGTGGCACTACAAAGTTACTGCTTGCAATCCCACCCATATTGAAGTTTGCCGAAATGCTTTCCCTTAAAGTCAGATCTGTAACGTACACCAGGGGAAGTTTCATTTTTCCTGGTGCTCAGCCATATCCACATCGCAACTTTTCTGAGGAAGTTGCCATCCTTGATGGCTACTTTGGAAAGCTTGGATCTGGCAGCATGGCATATATTATGGGTTGCCCAGACAAAGCACAAAACTGGCATGTCTACTCTGCCTCTGCTGATTCTGTTGCCCCACGTGACAATGTTTATACTCTTGAGATGTGCATGACGGGCCTTGATAGAGAGAAAGCACTGGTTTTCTTTAAAGATCAATCTGCTTCAGCTGCCGCGATGACAGTTAATTCTGGCATTAGAAACATTCTTCCGGATTCTCAGATATGTGATTTTGATTTTGAGCCTTGTGGTTATTCAATGAATTCTGTTGAAGGGGCTGCTGTTTCTACCATTCATATTACTCCAGAAGATGGTTTCAGCTATGCAAGCTTTGAGTCAGTGGGGTATGATCTGAAAGTTGTTAACGTGAACGAATTGGTTAATAGGGTGTTGGCCTGTTTCCTACCAAATGAGTTTTCAGTAGCCGTTCGTGTGGATGGTGCAATCAAGTCATTGGAGCAGACTTGTTTTGTGGATGTTAAGGGATACTATCGCGAAGAGAGGAGCCTCGAGGGGCTTGGAATGGGTGGTTCTGTTGTCTACCAAAAATTCTCTAAGATTTCTGACTGTGCTTCACCTAGATCAACTCTGAAGTGCTGGAAAGATGAAGATGAAGAAGAGTAGTATAAGTGTCTGTGTCTTTATTGTCTTCTGTTTTCGTTAAAATAAGTCTGGCTTTCCAGATACGTTCTTGTTTTCCTTTGTTGTCTTTTGCCTTATTGTTCTTTCCCTTTCAACGTTGCATGGAATAATAAACCATTTTATGTTGGTGAATATCGTGTAATTTTTCTTAAGTTTATGTTTCAGGCCTACGAAACGCGTATTAAAGTAGCTTCTGTTTAGGTTTTTAACAAAAAACCAAGTTAGCTTCTGTAATATAAGGTATAGACGTAATTAACGCAAACAGTTTTTTCAAAGTATGAACGCGGAGATTGAAGTTTCCTTAGTAATTTTCGCTAATTAAAATTGATATTTTGAAATACATTGGATTATTCATAATTTGGTATTATAATTTATTGAGTTAAATTAAGTTTAGTCGAAGGGGCTCTTGGAGATACTATTTTTATATTTACTGGGATTCATCACGTGAAAATCATCCAGTTTTTTTTTTTTGGTCTTTTTTTTTGTTTTTTTTTTTTTTTGTGTTTTAGACTTACAATTCATATTTGTTTCATCATTCTCCGTTTTCGAAATGTACAGTAAAAAGTTTAGTGGTTCACATTTGGATTCTTTCATTGATTAACAAATTATTCAAAGCTATTCTAATTCAGACTTACTTTTCAAATCATGAAGTTGAGCAGCAACAGTTGTGAACCGTGCACTTGTGAGTTTGAGAAGACTTGGACTTGAAAATGACATGGAAATATAGTAGAAATCCTACTTTTAAAGATTGAATTTGATTACATAAAAAGCAAAGACTGTTCATTGACTGGGGACTGGGAAATTGTTTGGTACCTGATGAAGAAAGCCTACAACCCTAGTGGGTCAAAGCATGATAGAGACTTTGGAGTGACTATTATTATAGGAACCAAAGTTGTATCCTTCGCCCAACAGCTTCTTTAGCAATTATAACCTTGATTAACTTATATTCTTTCATTCAACATATATTTTCTTTTTTCTTCATATTAACGGTAATCATTGTACTGCGGAAAAAATAATAGTAGAATAAACAAATACATATTATTGTATTAATCACTTGCAATGCCAATAAATTCCAATCGCCGTTTGAACTTCACTTGTGAAAGTTTTTATTTATAATTTTGTATGTTAGATTATCATATATGAATATGTGATCACTTGCAATGTCAATCAAGTCCAAACCACGTTTCATCTTCACTTGCAATGCTTCCTTACCAATTGGCGGCTCCGTCTACACGTTTGAGCCTTTGGACTAATTTTCTAGGGTTCTCCTAACAATTTTTTTTTTAAAAAAAGAAGAAACAAACAAATAGTAACAACCCCACTCAATAAATTATATTTTAATTTTGCTTTTTCATATAAACAGCTGGCATCATCCTAATATTTTAGGGAAAAGAAAAAAAAAATACGATAATTGAAAATAAAATGGGCTTTTGAAGCTAAACATAAGCCACAAAGGCTTTTGTGCATCATGCTTGGGCCTACTTGGGCTTAATTTCTTGGGCCTAGTTTGGGATTACTCATTGGGCTAGATATACGTTTTTACGAATTATTTTAATGTCACAAGTATTTTGTATCTATTAGGTTAGAGATTAATATGACATATAATTTGATTCTGTAAGGTTTGTCGACACAATAGAATTTTGAATTAAATAGGTCACCTCAAAATGTGACGTATAATAGTTAACTACTAGACCAACCCATTATTATATTCTACATTTATATGATTTGATTGATATAGACATGTGTGAAGTAATTGAAGTTATAAGAGAGTTTTGACAGAGTCGATCCAATTGATAAAAACGTTGGTTTCATATTTCATATCAATAATTTAACTATCATTTTCAACACTAGGAACTGGAAAGTGGAGTCATGGGTCACTTTGATTCAAATGCAAGCATTGTTGAGAACTGTAGCCTCTGATATAATTTTCTTTTTCTTTTCTTTTTACTATTGAGAAAATGGCGTAGCAAATCCAATGAAATCGATTTTTTTCTTCTTTTTTTTTTCTTTTCACAGGGTCCATCCAATTGATCAAAATGGTTGTCTCATATCAATAATGAATTCATCTTTTTCATGCATTATGGCTTTTTTGGGCACATCAAATCGGAAATGTGGGAGGGAACGTCATGGGTCTCGTTGATTAGAATGCTTGCATTATTGTAGCTATTGAATTTATTTTTGACCACTAAGGAAATACAATGAAAAATGGCGATGCAAATCCAATGTTATCGCCATTGTACTTTTATTTCTTATAATATTTAATCTTTAATTTTGATTTTTAATTTTTTGTTAAACAATCATTTTTTATATTGACCATGTTTATGATCATACATTAAATAGATAACATGATAATTAATACACAATAATATAAATTAAGTTATATTTTTAGTCTTCATTTTTATATGATTTTTATTTTATTTTTACTTTTATGAGATACAAAGAGAAAATAGAAGATAAATTAATATTAATTTTATCAAATATTAATTATCATAATATTTTATTTAATGTCGGAACATAATTAAAATTATTACAATTTTAACCATTAAAGATGGAAATTTAGTGGTGGGGCCAAAATTAGAGATTTTATAAAATTAGAGACTAAAAGGTTATATAATTAAAATTATGCTAAATTATATTTTTGATTTCTTAATTATATATATATATATATATATGTAATTTTGGTCCTTTTATTTTAAAAAAGAGGCATTTAGCCCTTCTGATTTTTTAAAAAGACAACTTTAATCTTCTCATCAAAATAATATTTGTTAATAGTTAAATTTTAATGTTTACTCATACTTAAATAATGTAAAATTTAGTAACATGTCATTTAAAAATTAAAAAAAAGCTTAAAAAGTATACAAATAAAATTTATTAATAATATTATCAATCACTCGTTAAAATAAATACAACAGACAATCTTTTGTAAATTATTTTTTTAATTTTAATTTTATCCTACATGTAACATTATTAAATATCATGTCATTTAAGTGATAACATGTCATCAAATAATATTAAAATTTAATAATCAACATGCACCTAATTGATGATTGGATCAAAATTTCATAATTTTAAAATAAAAAATTAAATATTTTTATTTTAAAATAAAAAGATCAAAATTATAAATTAAAAACAATAAAAGATCAAAATTATAAATTAAAAAAAATAAAAAGATCGAAATTATAATTTTAACCTAAAATATTAAAGAACAAACTTGTAGGTTAAAAGTCATATAGGGATAAAATGCCGTTTAACCAATTATTTTCAAATCATTTTAAAAAAAGCATATCAACTAGATTTGATGGCAAAAGATACTCTACTTTTCGGGCTTGATTTTAAAAAAACCATTTTTATTTTATAAATAATTAAAAAAGCATCATCTTATTGTTAATCTGTAAAAAAATCACTATTTTTTAACAAATAAATATAAAATAGTAATATTATAATTGTTAGTATTTTAATTTATACATTTTCTATGCTAAATGTTTATTATATATGACTAAAATTATAATAAATTATATATACATAAATACTGTATATATATATATTATATTTAAAATTTGTACAAATAAATATTTTTAAATATATAAATTATATTTTAGATTAAAATGACTAATTTATATCATGAAACACCATCATTTTTAATTTTTTGATGATTTATTTTAAAATATTAAAATTTAATTCAAAAGTAAATATAAAATTAAATTAGATAAGAAATTAATATAATATCTACAAATTCACCTATAAAAAATTAGTTTTTAATAACACTTTTGTATAATATAATTGTTTGCGTTTAATATATAAATTGATTTATAAAAAGAAAAAAAAATCTAAAATCAAATCACCCAAATCAAAAGGAGGGTTAATTTGAGAATTATGGGTCCTCACTTACAATATTTGTTAAGTATAGTTTCTACCCAAAATCCCTTGTTCCTACCATCCTATGCCTTTAGAGAGAAAGGGTTGGTTTTATTTCTGTTTGCACAAAATTGAGGAAAGAGAGTTTCTATTCTCATTTCATGTGGTGCCACTAAGACATTAGGTCCATTCATCTCATCAATTATTACTAATATTTACATTGTCACTTTCACTCCACATTAAAATTTTCAGTAAGAAAACTTGAACCCATTCCAATGATATTTTATTTTGTCAAAAGTGCAATTGTTCAATTATTTAACAGATCAAAATATGATTGCAAAGTATTTGCATTAATAATGGATATACATTAAATAGCAATTTTATATATAACTTACTAAAAAGATGTGGCTGTAGTTTAGTGGTAAGAATTCCACGTTGTGGCCGTGGAGACCTGGGCTCGAATCCCAGCAGCCACAAAGGTTTTTTTTTTTTTTTTTTTTTTTTAATTTTAATTATTATTATTTATTATTTATTATTTTTTAACAACGTTATGATGTTTTAAACAAATAAAAGCAGTTAATTAAATTAATTTATCATATATTTCATGAAATTTGAATGTCTCATATGAATCAATTTTTTTTGGTTTCGTTGATAATTTCTAAATGTATAGTTGTATAAAAAATAAGTAAGGAAATAGGCATATAAAAAAAATCACACGTGTAATATACTTATTTTTATTTTATTTAGTCAGTTAAGTTTTATGAGACAATGATGAGAATTATTAGTAAAATTTAACCTAATATTATTAAAAATTAATTATTATATCATTTATTTATTTAATATCTGATCATGATGTAATAATTTTGATGATAAATCATATTTATCGAGAGAACTAAAATTATGAATTTTATAAAATTAGGAGATTAAATTATAAAATTAAAAATAAAGTAACAAAAACTGTGAATTTAATATTATATGAAACAAAAATATAATTTAACTTAATATTATACTACTGCTTATGCTCAATTTTTTTTTAAAAAAAGTTTAAGTTACTTTAAATAAATTTCATGAATAATAATATTGGTTGATAAAATTTAATCAAATTCAATGAGCTTAATCATGTTTAATGAAAATTAAATTTATTACATTAATGTTATTCATTATGCAATTCTAATAATTAAATATTATTTATATAATTTTGTTTTTTAAGTTGTAACATTAATAATGCTTAAAACATATCTAGATTTGATAATTAAATGCAATTTCAATAATATTTT